TCATTGATGGTATTTAGTCTAGTGGATTTTTTGTTAAACTGACATTTTAAGAAAAAATTTTTTTGAAAAAAGTGTCCCCTTTTAACATTCGAAATTAATTAATTGATGGAAAGAAACGAATTACACATCTTTTACAATTAACCGTCAGTCGTCCTTTCAGGTCCGTTGATATTTTTCGAGCGTATGAAAACGAGACGGAATGATATCAATGGAAACTTTCCAGGAGTGCGTTGGCAAATATTATCTTGGGGTAAATACCCTAATAAATATAATTCCAATATGTATGGATCGGGACGTGGCGGTGCATTGACGCCAGACGGGCAAAGTGCAACGCGGCCAGACGGAGCGACCCACATCTCTTAACTTAACGTAAGTATCGTAAGGGGATGTGGAAAACTTTCGCTCTACACACGCTGATAAGGCATCGACCACGTGGACAAAAGCTTGCAGGAACACATTTTTTTTTTAAAAAAATAATCACCGTCACCACAAGTTAATTGAAACTGTCAACGTTTTATGACCGTTGTCTTGGAGTTTTTACGACTGTTTGTGATTATGTCACAGTTTTTAGGCTAAAAGTTGTGAAAAAAAAAAAAAAAATAGAAAAAAAATGTAATACACTAAAATTCTAATCCAAAAAAAAGGTATAAAGCATTAAATAATAATCGTCGTACTTGTCACATCACCACTAAGTAAATACTAGTGGAAGATCCTATACAGAACATTGAGAAAATATCCTGCAATTTGAAATTGGACTAAGCAGGAAATTAAAGAGATGTCTTTGATTCTTGGGATTATATAATTATTGGATTGTCTACTTAACATATTAAAACAAATATAAAGTATAAAATCCCCTGAAATGATAATCTTTTTTGATTTAATTTATTCTTTTTTGTGGAAGAGATGGCGAGTGAGCATATCTGATATATTTGTAAACTTGTGAGCCTTGACCTATAGACATTACCAAAGACTACACTCCAAATTAGTTAGGTGAAACTCGTGTTGAAAGAACGTACCTATACAGCGTGTCGTTACCATCACGACAATAAATGAACACACGTCTAACGCTACTTGCCAATAATCATAAAAAAATATTAACGTTAAACAAAATCAATTTTTCAAACAAACTAATTAAGTAAAAAAGAAACAAAATTTGTAACATCCAACAACTCGCGCCACAGCGTCGCATTACAAGCCTCTCAATTCTAACAGTATGTTTTGTCTCTTTTAAATTCATTCAACCCATTCATATGCTTTGTGACCTTTACAAATGAACTTTACGTTACGCTTTTATAGGTAAGGGTGTTCTAAAATTCTTTGTTTTGGAAAATTTAATAATTCTGTAAATATTGATGTTTAAAGAATTTAAATGTTTAATACAACTTTAAAAAGTTATCCCCTATATGTGTGTTCATTTATTGTCGCGATGGTAACGACACGCTGTATAACTACTGGTACAAAGCTATATGGGTCCTTATAGATGATCTGTCATAACTGCAAAATCTTTCTTAAGATTCCTCGTCAAATTAAGTCCTTCGATTTAATTTGACGACCCAATTGGCGTGGGGGGTAGTGACCCTGCCTCCTGCGCCAGAGGGTGTGGGTTCGATCCCCAATACTGGAAAAATATTGTGTGATAAACATCGTGTTTTTCCAGTATCTGGGTGTTTTTATATGTATAATATGTATTTATTTACAAAAGAAAAGTATGTTTGAGTAAGTTTATCAGTTTTCTAGTTCCCATACAAGTGCTGCTTAGTTTGGGACTAGAAAACTTTGTGTAAAAAAATATGTCCGAACTGTGTCAGAATTCGTTGAATTTTTTTGGGTTTGATGAGCCACTTGATGAGCCACTGTTGGCCTTAGGGACCTTTACAGTTTCGCCGGACTTGAGGTGGCCGGGCGCTCGGGGCGCCTAGCCTGAACCTCGTCGAATTCGTTGAGATTCATCTTTATATTTCAATACAAATGTAGTGCGACAAGAATTACACACTTAGCAGTCCGTTGCTTGGGTCGAGCGTATTTAGATAGTGCGTACCAATTAACGACGACTGGCAGACCAATTAGTGATTTTTACCGCCCTTGTCGCATTTGACTCGTGGTGAAACAGTTCACGTTTATCTCAGCTCCGTCTGCAGTGGCGGTGACCACAAGCTCCTGTAACCGGGACTCGTAATAAAATAACTTCAATTTTATATGGCGTATTTAAACAATAGTCATTACCATGTTTACACAGAGTCCCTGAAGTTTTCTAAATGTTTCGTGGTGTTGTATAGTATTCGAAGCTTGTATTTAATAGCTTGGATTCAAAACAGGCTCAAAGAGCTCGATTGTTTGGCAAATTTTTAGGGATGAAATATTACTTAGATTAAATGTTAGTGATGTAGAACCTTTCGACTTATTCCTTTTGCGAATACGTAGATAACACAAAAATCAAAGTAAAATAATTATATAAAAAAGTCCGCTTGGCATCCTTTGGATGATTTCTATGACCGACTATTTTGTAATGGATTAATGAGAATTTAATATTTGATTTGATATGTCGTGTGGCAAATGAGCTGGATCTTGAGAAAAAAAAATGTTGTTACATTATAGATATTTACAAAATATAATATTCGGAAGCATAACCCGAGTTAACCCTTCTTGTTTTCGATACAGCAAGCATACCTTTTTTTTTAATTCTATTTAATTATTGAGTCGCTTTTTATTTTTATTTCATTCTGCTTTACGAGTCTTTGAAATGAAAAAATAATTAAACATCTGTAATTAGCGTTAGTCTGTGTTTAATTATTTAAAAAAAGGAAAAAAAGGTTAGAACACTAACCTTTAACGGTGGTAGGGCCACGCAGCAGCCTCGGCTGTTGCACGAATGGGCAGGCCCGTCCGGGTAAGTACCACGACCTCACAGAAGACCAGCGTAAAGTGGAAGTGTGTCAAATACTTTCGCGTTTCGTCTGGTGAGTGAGGTAGCCGGAGCCCAATTTTCAAAAGGTTGTCAACGCATCTGTAACCCTTGGGTGTGGCAGATGTCCATGGGCGGCAGTATTCACTTAACATCAGGCGAACCGTCTGCTCGTTTGACAACTTTTCGCATAAAAAAAAACAAACCTTAAAAATTGCTCTACTACTTTATTTGAAATGATACGTTAGCGAGCCCTAATTCAGGAAAAACCGGAACACTCTTTTGCAGCAGAAATAAAAATACGACGTTTTTAATTTACAAATGATTTTCATAAACGCTATCAGTTTATGAAATTCTAATTCTTTTACATTTTTTTCTTAAAAGGAAGAGAATCGATAAAATTGTCGAAATTTCAAGTTCCAGTGGAGTTTTATAAGTTTGTTTATTTTTATTATTTGTTATTTCGTTATATTGTAGCATTAAATCAACAACTTTCACGTCATATATTTTAATGCTTTTAATACATGTTCATAGTGATGTTCAGAGGATAGTCTTCGTTGTGTACAGCTTAAGCTTACGTATATCCACTGAAGTCTAAACATAAATGCATACATTGATAATAACGAAAGATAACACGTCCTATATTGGAACGTGTAATAGGTTGGAGCCGAAATTTCCTCAAATCCCGTCCTCAAAGAGCGGTGTTCGTATGTCCCATTAAAATCGGACTGTGAGGTTCATCTACGGCATATGATCAGCATGTACAGTAGGCGTGACAGGTTCAACGTCTGCCCGACAAGTCTAGACGTATGAGGACGTGTTATAAATACACGCAATCTACTGGGAAATTACTGAGAGATATTGTTAAGTAACACGTCAAGTTTGTACTCTGAATCTGCTTGCATTTATTCAATACGTTACAATACGAGTACATAATGCAAGCTCAATTCTCAAAAAAGACAAGTTATTATTTAATTTTTCAGGAATATAGTTATCTTCTGTACAGTGCCGGATTAAGCAAGCGCAGGGTCCGTAGCAAAGTCTTTGAAACAGCCCTTGATCTGTTATGTGTTCTTGAGTATAAGTGGTAAAAAACAATTCAATACTCAAACTTATTTATAAACAGTTTCACTCAAATAATTAAGGCTCAGGCAGATATGAGTGGGTTTAAATGTGCGGGGCCCATTTGGCGCGGGGCCCGTAGCAACTCCTACTCTTACTATGTGTTTAATCCGGTACTGCTTCTGTGTTTCATTCATGTCTGTAAAATGCCTCTGCAACAGTTTATGTTTTTTTAAACAAGAATACGGAGAAGTAAAGACAGTTTATATTAACGGAAGCTCTATAATAAAGTTCAAATGGAACATATAGCACATTAAAAAACGACATCCTTGTCATAGCCGATTTATAATCGACATTCGCTTCTTTTGCTAGTGCAGAGCCGAGCAAGGGTTACTAAATTCCGTTATTTTTTACTTGAGAACACAACCTTTTGAACGGGCCCCCTCGTGAGCGTATTCAACAATAAATTAATGTACTATTATTTTGCAGTGATTTGCATTTATAATTCATACACTGACCTACTAACGAAAATACTCCTACGATGCTATTGGATACAAAGGTTCCACCGCTATTTTTATTGGACCTTCAATGCGCCGACTTATTCTCCTTCTCTACTATTAACACATGTGTGAAAGGGAAAAAAGCATTATTGTAAAGATTGTACGCCCTGACTTGCAGTTTCATTAAGTACATGGGAACATAGCTGATGGGCTCTGAAATCAGTTTGGCTTCAGGCAGTATGCAAAGTATACGTGAACAGTTAAAAAAAGTCTGCTACACAAAAAAAATCACTCTTAAATATCATCACATGTCGTTTATTCATTTAATATTTCAACGTTTCGAGATCAGAATACTACCAAAAATAAGAAGTATTGTATATCAGTCTAACAGTAAGTAGAATACATGTTTCGCATTACAAAAATGAACAAATTCATTAGATTACTGTATCTTAGCAAAATTATTAGATTATTAGTATTACTGAGGAAATGCTATACAAAGTGAAGGAAGCAAAAAACGATTACCATCTAATATACTAATGGCAGATTCTATAGCAACTATCCTCGCTCCCAGATCAAGAGCGCCAATCAATCAAGCTGGTATTACACTATGGGAAGCGTGTACAGATAACGATGTATCAAATAAACTAGAGTGTGTTATAGAAGCAAATAATGGCACAAACCCATTCAAAACCTTTCAAGACAAATCAACAAGTACCAACTTTAAAACCGTAGAAATTGATTTTACAATAGGCAAAAGCACAATTGTAGGTGATAGCGAATATAATCCAAAAGACACGGTCCTTAAAAAGTGGAGGGAACGTCAAGCCAAGGCAAAACACGAACGGGCCAGAAGAGCTGTCATTAATTCACTGGAAGAAAAATTTAGGGGCACCAAACGGCAGGCGAATTTAGATGCTTTTGAGGGCGGCAATAAAGATTATATTCATAGGAGTATTCCGACGATTGTAATAACGGAGGATGTCGAAGACACGTCAAATATGAATGTAAATCGCAGTGCTGCCGCCGAGGGCAATTTCGATTCTAAGGCTGATGGTTTTAAAGTTAACAATGGAACGGCGGCGTTTGAGGTGGTCTGTCACGCGAGGAAACTTCAGATGGGGCCAGGTGGTGAGCTGGCACAGTGGAGGCTCGCTCCTCGCGGCAGTAGGGCGGCGGGCGCGGAGGGCGGACTACGCGGGACTGTGAGGGAAGCTATGCCGGTGAGTTGGTCTAATGCCCAAGTCCTCATGCGCCTTCCCTTACCCTTGCACGCTCTGCCACATACGCTTGTTACAAGGGCAACCCTTTAGCATCACCGAATTCTTGTTAAGTTATACTCCCATATGGGTTATATGAAAAGAAAGAAGAAAGACCCTAGAAAGCTTCAGCAAACTTTAAAAATGTATAAAACGCAACATAAGGTGACATTATTATTGAGATATATTAATATGTGAAGCAAAAACTTTGTTCTCCTTTTTACGAAAGTAAGCGAAAGTTTGCGCATACAAACTTTCGCCTTTGTAATATTAGTAAGGAAGTAAGGATGTAGAGAAGGACAGAATGCTCATATTTTTTTTAAATTATGCATTAAAATACAATCAATATAGAAAACGTTACACACACACGTATATATAATCGTTTGATTATTATGTATTGTATTTTAAAATAGATAAATGTTGTTCAATTTAAATTAATTATGGTCAAATTTCGCCCACTTGACGTCCACTAATTAATACAAATTCATAATAAGAGATGTTTACTGTTTGTTACGATGGAAACAAATATTTGTTACGAGAGTTTTTTTTTTGTCTTTTAAAGGTCCAGTTTTCCAATTCCAATATTCTTAAAGACGCGAGCAATAACATGTGGAATGTTTTTATAATTCTACAACAAAAAATAATATCTAATGTTGATATCGTCATATATCTGAATCCAAAGTTCAAATGATGAAATGATATAATATGTCTTAGTTAATTTGGGTACACCTAAGTACAAATTCCACTTAGATAAAAAGTGGGAATTATGATTTTTTTTTAATCACTTTATCATTTTCATATAAGAATCGAATTTGCTAGTGACATAATAACCTGCATCTTTTAAAAAAAATCTTAAAAACGTTACAGAAAACAAATTAAGTATACTGTCGTTTATTATATTTAAACGTTAATGTAAAAAGAAAGCATATCTTTGTAAATATTTTTTCTACGGAGGTCTAACAATGAAAACATTTATGTTTCGAGGTCAACTCAAAATAGTAATGATATGATATGAGAAAAAAAATATAAGACTATAGTGGTTGGAGGTTTGTTTTAATTTATTTATTTATTTATTGCACATCCATTAAGTAACAAAAGGTGTTAGGGTATATTTCGGGTATGTTAGGGTATAATTTATTTTAAGTCAATTGTACTTATGTATAACCCTAACTTATGTCCCACACACTTATCTTCCGAATCTCGTATTCCAGGGAGGGTTGATTTTAATGTAGATAGTACTCGCCATTTCTATGAATTGGTTCACAAAATTTGTTTACAATTGATAAATCTCAATCGGGATCGCTTTTGTAATAGGTATTATTGGAAAGCAATTGGTAGTAGTAAAGTATAAGTAAGTAGTTATTTAGTATTATAAAACGTACTATATAAGTATTTTAGTTTTTCTGTATTTTTTATGTGAGTAGGTGGCAAGCGAGCTGGCGATTCGCCTGATGTTGACGCCATTTGCAACACCCGTAGGGTTGAATGAATGAATGAATGAATACACTTTTATTGTCCACCACAAATAACAATATACATAAAAGTAACAATAGAACAACAAATTTATGCAATGTACAATTTGGCGGCCTTATCGCTTCATAGCGATCTCTTCCAGGCAACCAATGGCTTAAAGGAAACGTATACTACGTAGGTGGTGCAATAGAAATTATATGTATCTGCTTTAATAAAATTATTAAAGCAGATACATACATTTATATATACATATCCATATATACACAAAAATACATATATATACTATATACAAAATACTATACATATATATACATACACACATATATACTAGACCTCAAACATGAATAGTATTTAATCCCAATATTACTCAGGTGATTGTGACAGGTAGTGCTCTCTTACTAACTTCTTAAAAGTGCCAATAGATTGCGCCTCACGTAAAACTAAAGGCAAGGAATTCCAGAGCTTAATAGCCTGCACGGTAAAAGATTTTTTTTCATAAAACGACGTTTTGTAATTTGGCACCCTTAAAATGAGCTTCTTCGAAGAACGTACATCTTCCCCTGGAAGCCCTACAAACTCAAATTTCTCCTTTAGATATGGTGGAGTACAACCATGAAACAAGACACCATACAAAACAGAAAGAATATGTAAATTTCGGCGAAATCGGATGGGTAACCACTTGAGACGTTTACGAAATTGAGAAACATGGTCATATTTACGCAACCCAAATATGAACCGAATGCTAGTATTTTGGAGTCTCTCAAGTTTATTTAATTGTTCTTCAGTTATATCTACATAGCTAGCGTCAGCATAATCGAGAATCGGAAGAAGAAGAGTCTGTGCAAGCATAATTTTTGTTGGAATGGGGAGAATTGATCGAAGGCGACGCATAGATCTGAGAGCTACAAAAGTTCTCCTACTAACTTCATTTAAATGGCGTGTCCAGCTTAAGGTACTGTCGAGATAAATGCCTAAGTTTTTGACATAGTCACAGTATGGGATTATCACTCCATTGATTTTAATTGGCGGTAATGATAACCAGTCAATTCTTGATTTGAAGGACCGGCTGCCAACAATTATTGCCTTTGATTTATTGGGATTGATAATGAGGCCATGTGATTTACTCCACTCATGTATGTGATTTAAGTCATTGTTCATAACGGCGATAGCTACTGGCAGATTCTCAAGTGTTGTCTGGGTGTAAATCTGGATATCATCCGCATACATATGGTAGAGAGAAGAAATTTTTTGAGTGATTGAATTAATGAAAATAGAAAAAAGTAAAGGTGACAGCACGCCGCCTTGTGGTACACCAGCAGTAGTATCACACCAAGATGAAAGTGTTTCATCAACGCGAATACGCTGCCGACGTCCATTGAGATAACTTTGAAACCAGTCAATTACTGATGGTGATAAATTAAGTGAACCCAGCTGACTCAACATAATATCCAAATCAACTGTATTAAAAGCATTGCTGAAATCCAACAAGGTCATAACTGTGAGCTGTTTATTGTCCATACCCAAACGAATGTCATCGGTAACTTTAATTAGGGCAGTAACCGTACTATGACCAGGACGGAAACCGGATTGTAAGGGATTGAACAAATTATGAGTGTTAAGAAAAAGGTTCAACTGTTGGTAAATGAGCTTTTCAAGTACTTTGGACAAGAAAGGTAAGATCGAAATTGGACGAAAATCGGAATAATTATCGGGATTAGGTTTTTTAGGGAGAGGTATAATATGAGCAGTTTTCCAAGCATCGGGAAATTTAGAATAAGAGACACATTCATTTAATATATAAGTGATAACAGGAGTGATAATATCAAGGAGAGGTATAATCATCTTACGGCTAATGTCATCACTACCGACAGCATTCGAAGATATGGACAATATGCTTTTCTTAACATCACATACAGTAAACTGACTAAAAACAAACGGAGGATAATTAGGAGTCGGAGTTGCAGAGAAAGATTGAAGAGTTTTAGCTTTGAGTTCATTATCAAAATTGCTAGAAGGTGTAGAAAAGTGTTGATTCAAAAGTTCAACATTAATATTTGAAGGTGTTGAATGATTTGATTTTTTACCAACTCCGATCGTTTCCAGAAACTTCCACACACTGGATGAGTCGCCGTTCTCGACTGATGTATGGATATGGCGTCGCTGTGCATCTCTAACTAATGTATTACAGCGATTCCTGATTTTGGCATATTTTCTTTGATTCTCCTCCGTTCTGTTTCTCTTAAGTTTGGACAACGCTACATTTTTCTTTAAATTTTGCTTTTTTAGGTCATCAGAGAGCCAAGGAGCAGGCAGGTGTTTAATCTTAACATAATGTAATGGCGCATGTACATCAAAAAGTTGAGTCAGTAAGGAACAAAAAAGTTCGACTTTTGAATTAATGCATGGTGCACTCTCTATCACTGACCAATCAATTTTACGAGCGTCATCACAGAGCCGGTCAATATCCATTCCTCCAAAATTACGTCGCAGAAGTATTTTAGGTTTCATTTTAGGAGGGCGTAGTTTATACGAAAGAAAGATAAGATCATGGTAAGAGAATGCATCGGCAGGGTACTGACCGTGCTTGTAAACTAGATTTGGAGAAGAAACTATAATCAAGTCTAGAAGAGAAGGTGTACAGTTTGGAAAGTTATGGGTAGCCGAAAGGGGTAGAATATGCATATTACATGCTTCAACGATAGAATTGAGTTTATTCGCCCGATTGTCGCCTTTAAGTAAACAAGTATTAAAATCCCCCATTAAAATAGTATGACTGTAGTTAGGGATTAGTGACTCCAAAAGTGACTCGAGAGAAGAAAAATAATTTAGTGAGAGGGATGGGCTATAAAAAACTCCAAGTAAGATTTTATTTTGGGACGAAGATATCTCTATTAGTAAATGCTCAGCAGAGTCAGCAGGTGGCGGATGACATGACGAACTTACAATTTTAAAAGGAATGTGGGATTTAAGATAGATCGCCACACCACCACCACCACCCCTGTCAGTGCGGTCATTTCGAATAAGATGGAACCCAGGCAAGGAGTAGCAGACAGAAGGCAGACAGGGCTTTAACCACGATTCAGAAATGAATATGGCGTGAACGTTTTGGGATTCAAATGACGCTAGCATGTCAGGATAATGAGCCGGAATACTTTGTGCGTTTATGTGAACAGCATTAAAATTTTTCGAACAGTCTGAGAAACAAGTATTTAGGGCAACATTGAGTGGAAGGGAAGTTGATGTCGTACTGTGAAAACTTGAGTCACTAGGTGTCTCATCACGCGAGGACAATGACATGAACAAATCACTATCGATACTGATGTTTGAGGATAACATAAATACTATAATTAATAATATATAAAAATAGATATGTTATAATATATAGAAGCTAATATATAAATGTATAATATGCAAAACTTACTATACCCGCTATTTATAACCACCAGCACCATGAAAGAGAAAGCGTACAACAACAACTTAAGATTGCCTAAAAGTGAAAAAAAAAAAAAAAAAAAAAAAAATAAAAAAAGAAATTACATATTACAATTAAAAAAAACTTAAATTCTACTTTGTTTAAA